CGCGCGGCAGCTCTCTCGGCTTGCTCGTTCGCGGATGTCGTCACGCGGCCAAGAGGGAAGAAGAAGAGAAAGAGAGAGGCGGGAGAAAGGGAGGCCCGATACGAAAGGGGAGAGAGCCTGGTGGGGGACGCGGCGGACGAGCGGGGAGTGAAAAGGTGAGGGAGGAGAGGTAAGTACGAGTCGTGTATGGTCGTCGTATAAATAGACGAGGAGACGTATAGTAAGACTCCTAGGGCAGGTAGTGGATGCTCGTGACAGCGATCAAACTACCACGGGAGAGTCACTGACACACAATGCGAGATCGTTCGCGCACGTGCACATACGTACGCTCGGTTCCCGCAAGCCACGCACACTGACGGAGCATTCTCACGCGCACGCGTATATATGTATACACCGTCTTGTCGTGCTCTCGTAGACCGCCACTCCGCCGTGTAAGAATCCACACGAATTCCCGGGAACCGCGAACGACCCGGGCTGCCCTTGCCAGTAGCCGTAATGCGCGTGCACTCGCGTCACAGGGAGGAGATGGCCACTACGCTAGATTCTTATTTAACACCATTATTGACATCTTTCCAGACACGGTTTTTCACGTATGGACTCGGCCTCAGTTGCTCAACTGAACTGCTTGCGACTCGTCCAGCCATATAACCAACCAGACAACACGCACACCACTGCTACCACCACCACTGTGTCACTGCTGCTACTACTACTACCTTCTCCTCCTCCTCCGCCGCCTTTACTTCATATCTTGTCGTACCACGGACACACGCACAGTTCGACGCGCGCGCACTCACTGACAGCTACACACAGAGGGCACGAGTAGAAGCCTCTAACCCGGAGCACACACCTACGCACACCAGCAAGCTACACCGCCGACGGACTGTAGCCTCAGGAGCGTCTCCATGGCCCGCGCTCGCCCCGGCTTCGCATTCTTCCGAGCGCCTTGCGGTTTTTCAGGGGATCCCTCCTACGGCACATTATATTTTTCAGAAATTAGCTGAAATTTCATTTAGTTTTATTTTGGCCATGTCCTTTCTGTGCGAAGATTGCAGAATTTTCCTAGAATTTTTCTAAAATAACTTCTAAACTACAAAAAGTACAAAGAAATGCTCTTGTAATATTATAAAAGTTTGGTAGGAAACATTTTTTTATAGATTTTGTAGTTTAAGGGTTATACTCAAAAAAGTGGAACGTCCTTTTGAGATTACATTTCATACCCCACTGGGCACAGATTCTTATGGATTTTTTTTTATAAAATTCTATTATTAGTATTGGTATTCATTTCTACGTTTAATGATTCATTTGGATCGTATTGACAATGTTTGTTTCGTTACGATTAAAATGATCACGAACGCGATAATAATAATTCTACCGGCTGCATTTGCATACTATTTGTAAACTACAAATATTTGCTGAAGATACTCGAACCGCTTGTGAGAGATGATCATCCGCTTGCCTAGACGTAGCAACTTCTAAGTCAACATCATTATTCATCGTTCAAAGCCTTCGAATAATACTCGTGCCAATTTTAGAATTTACACGTGCGTGCATAGTAGCATTACTGTGTGTGTTAAAATAAGCTCAATTAAATAGAATTTCTTAATTCTTTGCATAGAGTTCGATTTAGGAAATTTTTAAAAAAGTGGCCCCTAGCTACGTCCCTGGCAACAATCCATACATAAGCATGCAACTACAGCGTAAGAAACGGAAAGAGAGAAAGAGAGATTCGGTGCATGCGTACACACACACATATATGTGAATCCCATTGGCGTAGAAACATTTTCTCCCAAAAAATTAAAATCATTTTTCACCATTTTTTGTTTTAAATCATGAAGTAAACAAAAAATCTGTTATGTACATTTTATTATACCTTAAAATATATGTATAAAGTAACAAAATGTTTCTAACAACATTTTTAATTACTTTATAATTTCACCTAAATCCTTCCGAGTTGTATTATCACTATCATTGAATTAAAATTTCATTATTTTCAGTCATTTAATATACGAATTCTCTGTTAGAAGTGAAATATGTTCCATGGAGAGTTCATCAATGAGGTACTGGGGAGTACCTTGTAGTGACTCGACTCCCCTTCTGCATTTCCCTTCATAGACTTTCGTGCCGTCGATGAATGGCGTAACCTCGTTATGGGACTTCACGTGGATAGCTATATTCCCGCCTCGATACCGTAGAAAGGTTTCTCAAAAATTCCACCTATGTAGCTGGGTCAATGATGACCCAGGACTACGTTCAAAACACCTCCACACCCATTTTCATGAATTTTAATATGGTAGATACGACACTGCAATGGAAGCACTGTTGAATGGATCACGGCTACCATTTTATTCTTTTTAATAAAATAAATTTTCTTAAAAATTCCACAAACAACGATTCTGTATATCAATAAGCGTTTTTACATTTATGGCTGGGTACCCGTGCCCCTAGCTACACCTTTGAGATTTTATAAGCATCGTCTCTATGAAGATTAGATGACAAAAAGTGTCACCTATAAGAGGAAAAAAGAATTTTGCAATTTGCTTAAGTAGTTTAGGAGATATGGGAATCTTAATGATGAAGATTCGGAAAGTGATGTGTCAGGATCTCCCTCGCAACTTCCGGCTCTCCCATTCTTCTTCCGCTGCAATTTTTCAAAATGCTGTATCTCAGATACTAATTAATAGAAGGTATATGTGTAATAGATCGTTGAATTCGTTTTGAAACGCTCTATCCAATGCGATAAAGAAAAATATTGTATGATTGTATTTAAAAAAATTAAGTTAACCTTGAAATAATACAAACAAAAATTTGTCTCTGCCTATATATTTCTTCTTTCTTGCCATAGAAAGTTTATCTGAATAATTTCGTTATTTTTTCAATATTTACCACCTTAGTTATTTAAAAAATTGTAGTAGAGATTTAGCCAGGCTAATAATGATAATACTTTCGAATGAGTAATCGTCGTCGACGACCTACGTTCATTGAATACTGACCACGCATATGACGTGCGTTCATTTACTCGCAATAAATCAGTAGGTTTTGCAGTTTCTGGTTGCCATTACGGATTCGACTGCATTTAAAACAACGTCTGGCGCAGTGACACAATCAAGGCTGGATCGTCGTCGATAAGAAATCGGTTTCCAAGAACGAATTACATAATAAATCTCTTCTTACCGCCACGTAATGTTTCTTCTTTTTTTTTTGTAATAGCTAATCAATAAACTGGTCTCTGTAGTAGCGTTACGAAGGACGTCAATAAGTTACAGTTACTTTGCTAGACTGAATGGAAATCTGCAAATAAACGCGTCAAGCGTTTCCGATGCATCATTTCACCTAACGAGATCTATAGATCTTTCGTAACCAATGAATGTTCTAGGAAAGTTATTGGAGTCGTACTGGAGAAATGAATGATTGATACTTTTTCAAAATGATTTCCATTCAAGATGTTGACTATTTTCTGGAGTAATTAATTGTTTAAATTTGATATTTTAGGTGACATAATTACTGAATGATGTATTGAATTATTGATAGAGTTTGTATTTAATTTTAGTATAATTCATTGTTTACGATAATTGATAATTAATCATTCTGTACTGAGAGTATTGATGAGCCATTTATGTATACGGTTATTTTCGTTATATTTTAAGCTTTGAATTAGTGTGCCACAAATGCCACTTTGAAATACTTTTATGCGGTGTCATGAATTTGTCTTAGAACTTTTGCATTTAGAAATTGAAACAACATTGTGCGTTGCAATCCACAACTGGTCATATTATATTAAGAATATTCGAAGATTATTTATATAGTTGTGTTTGTCAAAGTTTAAGCTTTGAACTGAGATTTCACAAGTGCGAGTTTGAAAAACTTTTATGTCATGAATTTGTTTCTGAACTTCTAACTTTCATGAATTTATCTTAGACTTGCATCAAAGTGACTGAATAACTCAATGACGTAATGAGAGAAAAATTGAATTCTAAGATAATCATCATCGAGCATGCTACTGATATTTACCAGCATATCACGTATCGCGTGTTATCGAAGACAAACCATGGGAGTCTGATATGCAGATTATTTCTTATCGATCTCACTCTAATAATAAGTTTTCTTCGATTGATTTATTTGAGTCGTTTCACCTTTCATATTTAACCTAAAAGAATTACTTTTCAAGCAATTTAAATGGAGCTTTTAATAGTTTATTGGATCATTCATATGTTTTAGCCTTTTTTCCCTAGGAAAGCCTACTATGCTCGTTACTGTACACAAAGTTCCCATTGGCTAAGAGTAAGAATGATAGGAGGAGCTTTCTGCCCTTTCCTAGAACACCATTTTCTTTAGATAAGCCTACTATGCTCTCATTGGGTAGCGGGATGTAGTTGGCGGAGCCTCGTTGTCTACAATGATTATGGAAAAACACTCCTAAGTGCACGTGACCGTACAGTACCGAGTATGGAAGGTTCACTAGGGAAAATGGCGCACTAGGGGAAAAAGGCGCCACCACTCATTTATAAGCGTTTACATATCAGGGAAAGTTTTAATATATTTTTTGAAACTTAAACATTTGGATTTTTGAATTAGAAATTAGAATTTTGCAACTTTCAAATTTGCAAATTCAAATTTAAAAATTCTGCGTTCTGAACTTTTTAAATCAAAAAATTAGAATTTTGAAACTCTGCCCTTTTTCCCCTAGGGAAGTCCTCCATGCTCAATACTGTACGTGCTTCTGTTTCCATCATTCTCAAAGTACTTATAACACCAACGTAGAAATCATCACAAGTCATCCTGAGGCTAAAATTGAGGTGCGTCGCCGTTATACTCTAGTGATCAAACAAATTACATTATGTGGAATTACAAGCTCAAAGGCCTGTCTATTAACCACTGTCTGTGGGTTGTATTAAACGTACGAGATACGCGTGACGCAAATACATAGAGACTTTCGATTGATTCTGCGTGTAATAATAGCACAACGGGGTGGTGCTGCCGGGCAGTCTGCTAGTGCGCAACTGATTACGGGAGTGACAAGAATTCTCTGTGTCCTCCACCTTCAGATTTTAATAAAAGGTGGACAAAATTTTAAAATACCTATGCTAAGGTAACTGAGCTAAACCACAGCTCTAGTAAAAAGAATGTCACTAGGAAAAATGACTAGAAAATTGCTACAAAAAAGTATTAAGAAACTTGGATCGAAAATTCACTAATTAAAAAGATATTCTAGGGAGGACGGTATACAGTGCTGGGCATGGAGATCATCCTAAGGTAAATGGCACCATAGGAAAATAAATCCCCACCACTTACACATAAACTCATAAAAATGAATATTTTTTAAATTAGAATTTTTTCCTACGAAATATCAATTATTCTAATATTAATACTAAAATTCATTTAAGTTATTGTTTTTAATGTTAATTTTGTACACGTATAAAGTATGCCTTTTATTTCTCCGAATAGATAGCATCACTAAAAACGAATGATTTATCTCAATCCGATACCGTGGAAGAATTCTCGGATTTTTTTTCTTTTTTTCTCATCATGTATTATTCAAAGACAACTGACATTGCGAATGAAATGGAAAACACATACGTTAAATTTGAACACCATATTTAAATGTGTATTGCTCTAGTTACAATTATATCGAGCCATATATCCTTTTCTGTATAGATTAGATAAATTATTTCTTCAATTCGTTCAAAGAATCAACAATTTCGCACCATTTATGAATACCATTCAAAATCCCCATAAGCGCGGGAAAATTCAAAATTCAAAATATTAAATGTATCTCATACATTAAAAATCTAATTGATTTCAAATAGAACCACATAATTATTAAAAAAAATATATTACACGTGCGTGCGAACGCAACCGGATACGCTTCCGAAAATATTTCATTCAACGTTTGGTCGCCATGTGCCAAGCATTGACCGTGGACGACGTCTAGCGTGTGTCTATAGACCTATTCCGTCTATTAAAAGAGTAGTAGGTCTCGCGATTACATATACCTGAGACACAAGCGTATACATATAGCAGTAGATGTACCGTCACGAACGACGACTATTGTATATACGGGCGTCTCGACGCGATTCGCCGTGGCCCTGGTAAGAGCGTCGGTTAGCAACAGATTTCACCAGGATCGGATTAATCAGAAGGGTGCCTTAACCTTATCCAATAAACGAATGAAATTCATATAACGCCATAAATTTTATTTTATGATGATTGGATGAAAGGTTATAATAGCGCGAATTTTGAAAATGTTTCATAATTTTTGGTGAGATGCTCAATTCCATTGATTGGCAATACTGGAAACAGTAGACGAATTCCTAAGCTATTTGGCATAACTACTAATAAACTAGTAAACTATTTATAGAAAAATTCAATACTCATTGAGAAAGGAGATTCGTACTGCTTTCAACATACACCTTCTTAATTACCATTTTAAATTTTCCCGCGCTTCCATGGATTTCAAATGTTCCCCATAAATGGCGCGAAACTATTGATTATTGAGTGGTTGTTTGAAAAATGAGTCTTAAATCAAAAATGTTTTCACAAAATATACACAACAGTAAATACTTCATATAAAAGATGTTCTCATAAAGGCATAACGTCATCAGTGACCTGAGACAGCGAAAGTTCTTTTGTTTACTTGAGAACTCATTTTACGAAATCATATTTCGCATAAACACACGTACGAATGGGCAGACAATGAAAACCTAACCTCTGTTTGATGCAGAACGTTGATTACGCATAATCAATACCATAGTAATGTGCAATAATGCGAATGAATTCGGATCGATGGCACGCTGCACTTACGTATAGTTGGGTCACGCCTAAGCATCGCGTCAAGATAAGCATAACGTATCTTTGATTCATATAGAATATCGTCACGAACGCGTTCGATCCCGTGGAGCTCACGTGCCGTAAATTATTCGGTGAGAATAGCAGAGCAGTCCGTGTCGCGACGCATGCGCAGTAACATACTCGGCAGAAATAAAACCGTGATGGAAATAACAGGTTTCCACGTTGCTCCAAAACCAGAGAGAGTCATCTACCTCTCTCAGGTCACATTACTAATGATTGGAACGAAAATTAATTCCTAATCTCTGCTCTTCTCACTGACTCCCTCCTAAACATATTCTTTCTCGTTGGCCCTGAATCGGTCTTTACCTGAGGCCTCCCTGGTGTCCGTGGCAACGAGTGAACAAAGGCGACGAAGCGGCTGCGTAGTGATAGTAGAAGGGGGGAAGGAGGAGATAACAGGCGACGTATTCCTCGTACAGACGGCGTTGCTGTCGCGGAACTCTCCTCGCTTGGAAACCACTATCGTAGCACCGATGCACCTTCTTCCATGTTGCACGAAATCAAGTACCACTAACATTTGACGATCACTTACGAAATTACGAAAAGACACCAGAAACCGTGCATTCGCGACGACACAAATTATAATCGAAGACTGAGGATGCACCACGCGAAGGGAGACTGGTAACGGCTACCACGAGAAAGAGAAAGAGAGAACCGTGACGCGCGACGCTCTACCAGGCGCCATTTACAGAAACGCACGCATCGGCGCTGTATACGCTTGTCTCCTTCTCGCCACGTCCCTCCCACCACTACTACCACTCCCCTCCTTTACTTTCTCACTTGGACGTATCTATCCGACCTATCCCAATTACAGCGAACGTCCTTGAGGTGACTAACACCTTGTGTGAGAAACAGGGATGTATGAGTGGTGGAAAAAAGATGGCGGAGGAGGTGAGTGGAGACACGAAACACTCGTGAAAAGAACAAAGATAGAATGCGGCGAATGGCCGCGCGTAGAACGCTTATAGGCTTTCTTGAAGAGGGAGGTGGATAACCATGGTGAGAACGAGATGATTATTCACTGTTCCACGAAAACGGCTCAGAACGATTGTGGCGTACTTTCTTTGTTTAAATTGGGAAACTGAGAATTTCATTTTCTTATCGTATTTACATTATTATTCTACAATAATTGACTCATTGAAGATTGGGAAGCAGCGTGTATAAGTACAGGCGTGGGTAAAGTGGTTTTCTTTAGTTACTAGGAAGTGTATGTATGAAAGGAGTGGAGATACGTTTACTTAACTAAAAGAAGACTACATTACGCAAGAGTGTACATCGAAAAAAAGCGGTGAACAGCGTGGAGCATGGGAGGTTGTTTTAGGGAAAGTGGTTTTTTAGGTTTTTTCCTAAAGGAAAGGCCTCACCACTAGAGCGGAAATATTTTTTTGGAGAATTTTGTATTCTAAAACTTAATGAAATTTTTGAATTTTGGTGGGATCTTTTTCTCTTATACTGCCAATTCCTTAGGGAAGTCTACCGTACTCGACACATTATATTATAATACTAACTGATAATTGTTACAAAAAAAAATCATAAACTCTATTGCTTCTAATTTCCACTTTCAAAGAAAATCATTTTACGCACAACATCCGAATGAGTCAGCGGGGCGCGCTGAACCGAATATGCACGGTAATAAAAAGAATAATTCACACGTGGAAAAAAAGCATGACCTATAACGTTGCTCTTACAATGAACAAGTGGTATCGCAGATTACAATATGGTACTTACTCGTTTTGTGAGAACGGACAAAGGAAGATAAGCCTTTAAACTAATTGCACTCTGACAATATTTCAAATTAACCCCTTGTTATAAATCATATAATTATAGGATTTTTAAATATCAATATAGGGGTTAAATATTATACTTCCATTTGTGTTTTTATTTTGTTAATTTCTCATATAATACTAACAAAACATTTAATTACAAAACATGGGTGTGTGGGTGTATCCTCCCTTTCATTCTCACTCTCTCACTCTTTCTCTCTCTCTTTCTGTGTAGTGTGTGTAATGAAAGCGGTTACGTGTATCTTTCTATGTGGTATGCATATCATCTGGTTAATGTAAACATTACTCGATTACTTCAATAAGTTGTCTACAATAAGTAGATGGATTTTTATAACGACAATTTTTACATATCCCATTTTGTTCGCAGCATCTCTTCGTGTTTCTCTTCTAATTAATATTTGAACGCAAAAAAGAGATTAGAAACGCTACTAATTAGTATGCAATATTATATATATATATATATTATATATTATAAATTATTTGTCCAAACACTGAATATTTTACAACAGCCATCGATCTCAACTATTCATAATTCTATAATTTTTTTGTCCTTTTTTTTTAATTTTTAATAATTATTATGCGTAGCGTGTTTCTGATTTCCAATATCATATCAATAATAGGGGTATATCATAAATTTTGTAATTTGCTAAAAAATATCTTCTAAAAAATATGTCGACCTAAAGATTATTATGACTGATAATCACAGACAATTCTTTTTTTCAATTTCCATTTTTAATAGTATTACTTATCTCTTTTTTACTTCTTCCGAAGAGATCAGGGGCGGATCCATGGGGCGTCAAGGGAACACCTCAAAACACGCCCTTGGAGAACCCTATACGCAACGCTGCGATTATTTTGGAAATTGTCGTAACAAAAATAAACTTAACCACTCAACACTTCTCAAGATTACACATATATGTCGAATTTAATTTTTTTTTTTTTTAAAGGTGCTGACTGGTGTAAACAAACTGTTGGTGCACAATATGATGAGTGGTGATGTATTATGCTTTTCTATCTCTGTGTAAGTTATAATTAATCGTAATAATAATAATGATGCGTAATACTAAACAAGCCTTGTACACGTTCCACGAATCATTTAAAAAAAAATTCATTTTCTTTTTTTAAATGATTCATTATGGAGCATAAAGTATTTCGATGGATTTATAAATAAAATAGAAAACAATGCTCTTAATTCGTCTATCTCTATTAGGTGTACAAATTAATTTGGTTGAAGAATCTGAAAATTTCCGCGCCTACAAAAGCGCGCGGAAAATTTGAATTTGAAATGGTGAAAGGCACCGAAATAATTTGTACACCTTTATAATTCTTGCTATGGGAATATCCCCATAAAAAATGATTTACGGTGATGTGTTATAACAATTAAAAAAGAAGCTGGCGTGTTTATATTATCTCAACAATATTTAGACCATCGTGCGGCACCATGCTCTCTAAAAATCATTAGTTTTGTTTTAACCCTAGAACCGTCATCCGTAATAATAAATATCAATAAAATATCTAACATTGCTATTATATTCTCCAAGTAAAAATTACTGTTTTATACGTCCGCATGATTTTTCCATTTCCTTCATCTTTACAAATAATTATATTAACAATATTCATTTTTCCATGTTTAAAAAAAAAAAAGAAAAGAAAAATGGCAATTTCTTGTGACCAGAACTAGTTTCTTTTTTTTTCTTTTTTCTTTTTACAAATTATCATACGCATTTTGTACCAAACCAGGCCGATTAAAAAAAGATTGTTGCACGACCGACAAAAGCGCGCGCGCTTCGAATAATGTTCCTGCCATCATTTCACTCTCTCTCATATACAATTATTTTATTAAATAAAATTCGCTTTTCTTAATTTATTAAAATCCACCCCTACCCTAGGCCATTTCTTTTTTTCTATTTTCTTCATTTTTCATCCTCTTAAAGTGCACTTAACGGTGTCCATGGAGCACCAAATAATTTCAAGGGACCAACCACCTCGGCAGAAATTGATTGACCGCACTAAAAATACTTCTTTTTATATCATATAGCTTAATATGGATGCGATAGACACAATTAGCTTGTTTTTTGAATGGGTACATCTAAAAATCTATCACCGGGTTTTCAAGCGTAGGTACATTAAAGGTAAGGCAAAACTGCATTTCACAGAAAGGTGCTTTCATCTCTCTACGGATACACCATATCGATCCGTAGTCCCCAGCGTGGGAATATATCACAAACGTTTTCTAGAAATATCCTAGAAAAGTTTCACTTCCAATCATATCTTATCATTAATTATTATTAGTATCTCCTTTTATACACATCTTGTCCCAAACGTAAGCTTAATGTGGTTCTTGTCGAATAAAAATAATAATATATTGGCAAGGCGGAAGCACAAACGCATGGGTGCATTCTTGAAAAAGATCTATAAAAAAAAACACATATCAAAATAATATATTGCGCATTCTTCAAATGAATATAATTCATTTTTTATCGGGAACTCTCCCCCATTTCCTTTTTTCTTTTTTTTGGGTTTTTTAGTTTTCTTCACTACGATAAGACTTAAATTATCATCAATGTCTGCCAAAGTAGGTATGCCTTCGAAACGGTTATAATCTGTTCCTTTCTTTTCTTTCTTACTGGTACTTACATCAAGGACAATGTATCTAATCTAACAATTACATAATTTACAAAGAACGTTTGAAATTCTGGCCCTACAAAGTTCATCGTACACTGTACACTAAATAATGTATATATATATATATAATATATATTATTTTCATGTTAACCCTTTCAAATGACCATGCTCGTTTTTCAAATTCTCGCGCCAATTTTCGAATTCACCGAAGCGCGGGAAAATTTAAAATAGTAATTCAGCGAAGTATGGTCAGTGACCTAGAAAGGGTCAAGAAAGTAAGTGACCTGGGAGAACATTTTTTTTTGTTTTCCCTTCTAAGTACAGAATTTTGGTCCAATTCGAATTCTAACTTAAGAGCGTTTTGGATTTAGTGTAAAGTGACGATAACTTGTACACTTAAAGTAGAGTCTAAAAGTGCATGTGTATTGTGTGTGTACGTGTATGTATATGTGGATAACTTTCATGAACCTCCAATGGAGGATTCATTTCAGAATAGAGAAAGCAGGACGCGTTTATTGCTATAAGTAGACTCCTTAAAATCAACTACCGATCGTAGCCGTTTGAAGTAACATTGTCATAACGCGAATTCTGGCCTTCTAATATATCTATTTTCCATTATAGTAATAAAAAGCTGCGATCTCTGAAAATAGTTTGACGATTAAAATGAATAACGTTCGATAAAATGAATCCTATCCCCAAAAGCGCTCGTCGTTAGCAGTCTCAGTTGAGGTATTTACGACATCTGCGCGAACCGCAGGTACATGGAATCTTGATATCTTCGAAGGGAAACTTGTAGTCGTACGTTAATTCTTCGCCTTGATTTATTCGACGAAGAGCGAAGATTAGTATGTGCTTCTTACCTAGGATGTCTACCACTCGCGAATAACAGTTTGGCTGAAACATATTATTTTAAAAATTAATAACTTTCTTCTTATAGTTAATAACTGGCATTTAAATAAGAAATTTTACCTCGCAGGAGTGGTTAATGAATCTAGCCGCATTCCCTTTCATCGTGGCATCAACAACGAAATGATCGTCGATTTTGAACATATAACATCCTATATTTTTACTGTCATAATATTTCTCCCTTTTGTCAGTTAGAGAAGCTCGAATCACCTGTAATTTTATAAACAAATGAATAATGCATAAATAGGAGCGCCATCTTTTAAATTTGTGCGCGTATGAAAATGGAGCAAAATTTAAATCTCAATTACTTATAAGCACTTAAAATCAATATTATTTCTTGTAATTTTTACGTACCTCACCAGCGTATTCAATAACCATTTCTCCAGCTTCTATGTCTCTCAGACAAAACAAACCTCTGCCATGAATATGAGAATGATAGACTCCAACTGATTCTTTTGATGTTTCTTTAAGGATTCTGAAACGCATAGCCATTGGCAAGTTTGTGCTTGCCACTCGTCTGCAATATAATAAATTACTATATAGTACTATTCAATCAATGCAATAAAACTTTTGATTAATTATTCATACCTAGATTCAGCTTCTGATATAGCAATTAATTTAGGCTGCTGCCTGTGCCTGGACGCTAACCAACTGAACATATCATGAACCTTCCTCCCTTTAAAAGGCTCTGCACGAGCAGCACCGTTATCACAAGCCGTTGGCAGATCATTTTCTCCCTCTCCAGCTTTAGGAGGTGTTAGACTATGAAACCTAGGTTTATACTTGGTACATTTATTTACATCAGGCAGCTGCTCCACCAAATATACTGTAGCATTATTCTCCAAGCCCAGATTCTCGGTTAGAGGATTATGAGGTAACGGGGGCAAATTGTGAGCTTTTCGAGCACTCTGCACGGCCTGAAACACTGTCTCCCATACTTCAGCCATCGATGAAGCTGTATGAATGAATCCATCCTGTGATTTGATCTCGTACATCAGCATTGGTCCTTTCGAAGAGGCTTTCTGTGTATGTGTGTTTGATTTAATTACTCTTGGCTTTTTCACAGCAACGGGAGGAGCCTTTGTTTTTAATATATTGATAGGTTTCTTCTCATCAATTTTGTTCGCCTTCAAGGTGAATGTTTTAATTGGTAATAATTGTAGAGAAGCTATCTGAGGTACCTGCTTTGTTGGTAAAATTTCCACAGAAGTTACCTGCGGAGATTTCTTATTCTGAGTTACCGCTTTCATGTTATGAGTGATTTTGTAAGAACCATCTTGAAGTTGTTTCTGTAATACTATCTTGAGTGATGCATTTTGCAGTTTTTCCTTGTCTAGTTCCAACTTCAGATTCTCTTTCACCTTCTCTATGGTCTCTGTATTTAATTTCATATCATTTATGTCGCTTATCGTTGTCTCAGGTTTTTTCACTGGCGCCACAGCCTCCATCTTCTTCGACTCGGGTTCCGCAGGCTTTATCTCAGGCTTCGTTGGTTCCTCTATAATCATCTCTGTCTTCGTGGTATCTTGCTTAGGGGTTACCGCTTGCATTGGCAATACTCTGTTCATGGGTCTGCTCGTTGGTACACTACTTGTCTTACTCTGCATACACGAGCTGCTGATTACTGTATTACTACTCGTACTTACATTAACATTGTTCGAACTAGTACTACTATAATTATGCACATTATTTACATCATGGCTCAATTTATTTACAATTATGTCCCTCTGCGTGATGCAATGATTAGGTAGCGGGGGTATCTTAGACGATATGCTGGATTTTATCATACTAGTATTTTCTGATACATGTTTTGAATCGAAATAAGGTCTCACGTTGTTGTTCATCTGCTCTGAACCAAACAGAGGCTCCGTGATCTTCCACGGTCCGTTATTCATTTGCGTAACTGGACTGGGACGCACAGCCACTCTTGGTATTGAATTCTGAAGTAATTTTGGCGACGATGTTACTCTGGTTACCTGGGGCTCTGATGGACACATATCTTGACAAGATACAGGCAATATAGGATTGAAACTCTCAGTCACTGGCATATTTATCTGTGGAGTTACTATGGGCTCTGCTATGGGTGGTGTCTGATTCACTACAACGTAGCTGGGCACTGCAGGGATGTTTCCAACGCTGGATACACTGGGTACATTGGGTATGTTAGGAGCACTAGGCGCAGCGGGTATATTGGATACATTAGGTATATTTGGAGCACCAAGTACGTTTGGTATGCTGGATGCACCGGGCACGCTGGGTATATTTGTTACGTTAGGTACATTAGGTACAGTTGGAATGGGTATGCTAGCTATATTGGACACGCTGGGTACAGCAGTTACAGTGGGCACAGCCTGAACATCGACAATAGGCTCCATAAGCTTTGATGCTTGGAACACCTGCGTTGTGGTTTGGTAGCTGCTTGCCAGCACCTGTGGAACTGTGCCAGCCATGAACTGGCTGGAAGACATCACTGTGTTGCTTACGATGGTCTCCAGACCGTAATACATTGGTTGATTAGAAAGAAACATGCTGCCAGTTGAATCTGTGAACATTTCCAACGTAGGCGTTGAACTTAGTAATAATTGTTCTGATGAAATAACCCCACACTGAATCGCATTGGGCTGTTGTTGGATAATTGTTCCGAGGACTGTGGGCTGCGTCTGAGCAATCTGCACACCAGGCAATATCGATATACCTCCATTTTGCAATGCCAATAAATTATCAGATGCCTGTATGTAAGCGCCAGGAACTAGGTGATTGGTTGTTATGAACTGAGGTTTAAACGCAGTCTCGTGCTGACCTCCAATTGTCGTTACATACTGGAGATTCTGTCCTGATTGCTGTTGCAATGTTTCAACGTACGCAGACATAATTCCTGGGGACGCAACCTGTTGGAGTATCACGGTTGGCCCGCTGGGTCTCTGAGTTTGCTGCAACTGGATAACTGGAGTATTATTCTGCACTGGTTGGAATCTATTGTGTCCGTTATGAGGCTGAATAGTATTTTTTACAATCTGTGCTTTGATTCCCTTTGCCCTGGACTTGGGGGCTCTTGGAGACTTTGATTTCAATTTAGTCATTTGGCAGTTCGTCTGCTCATTGCTTGCTGTTTGCACACCAGTCGATGAGAATGTTGGAGATACTTGAGGGCTTGGGATTGTCTGTGAAACATCTGGAGAATTCTGCGATGAACTGGAATCACTTGCGACAGATGGAGGATCTGTTATCTCTGTTATCTGAACAGTACTTTCCTGGGGTAATACTGTAGCATTTGGTAGTGTGGTGGTTGTTCTGGTATACTGCGTTTGCACAATCATGTCGTTGGATGTTAATACTGTTTGATGGACGGTCTCCACTGTGGCGTGGGTGTGAATCTGAGGTGTTATAATTGCCTGTGCTATAGGTTCGATTTGAATTGCTGGATGGGGTGAAGGTACAGAAGCTTCCAAAGGAGATGTTGCCTGCATATCTGGGTAATCAGAAGACAGAGTATGTCCCTCGGATGGAGACAGAGTTATAAACTGTGGAGAGACTGAGCCGATGCTTGGAGAGAATCTAGAATCAGGTGATGCCAATTTGTTATCCATAGTCTCTGAGTCGCTGTCACTTGTTACCATAATGTCACAGTTCGCGAGGTGTCTGTTATAACTATCCTGCGTTCTGTAGGTACAGCGACATCTTTTACAGGTCACAGGGCGGTCTATGTGGTCAAAGGGTGCTCCGCACTGCGCAGTGACACTGATTCTTTCATTCTCAATATGTTTAGGTGAGATACACTCATCGTCGCTGGAAATGTCATCTGCACCATCCAATTGTGGGATCTCTAAATTCAATTTCAAATTATTGTGCGATTTGAGGAATCCGTATATTCTTTTTGGGCGCACGACATTTGTAGTTTTTGTACAAGGATTAAAATCTTTTTCACTGTCACAGGAGGATTCATCGTTAATTCCATCTAATTGGGGGATTGATAAGTGCTCTGTTAGAGTGTTTTTCTCTTCTGTATTGTACTCTGGAGAACTGCACTCACTGGCACTGCTTGGATCCGCAGGGCCATCCACCTGTAGGATTCTTGGCTGCTGCCTTGCATGCCAAAAGAGTCTCTTGTGCTCTTTTCCCTCCTCACGGCTGGTCGATATGACCCTGCGATTAATGCCATTCGCATCCTCGATGCAATATTTTAACTCTCGCACAGAGTCAGATAGAATATTAGGGGTGTTAGCTCTGCCCACAGTGACCATTATACTGTCCGGAATTCTTAATTCATGTAAAGTAGGTGGACGCTCAGTTTGAGAATCTAATACGTTGGATTCACTCGACTTTGTCATGCTTGAATTTCTAGATAGCTTCCTTCGTTTTATGCTGGGACCGTAAGTGCTATCCAATTTGCAGCTCCAAGTTAAACTACACGATCTTTGATGGTGCCTCTGTCCTCCGACAATTAATGGACTGTTTGACATAACTTCTGATTTGGATCTCTTCAATTCCCTGCCCCCTCGTTTTTTGGAGCTAAATAAATCGTCCATTAGATCTTGTACCGATGTTTTCGTCTCAAGATGAACCCAGAGATCATTATGAGGTCCTAATTCTAACAAAGAAGGATCTATCTTTGAGATTTTGTTCTCTGATGGTTTTATAATCTCATCAACCTCAGACGATAACATATCATCTTTAAACAGATCAGTTGCAAAGGGTCCATCATTCTTCAAATCCATTGCCAAGAAATCTTCATATGTTATCTTTGGAAATATATCCTGCATGGAAATTCCATCCAACAAATCATGTGGAAGATCTTCAAATATGGCTTCTTTTAATTCTGGAGGTAAAAGATCAGTGTTATTCTGCTCTGCTAGGTTTTCATCTACTTCTTTATTGCAGACTGCATCAACTAAAGCATCTAATGTCTGTTTCGCAGCCAAAAATTCATTATTCTGTACATTTACTGTATTCTCCTTTTCTTGCTCCTTCGAATGATCAATTGTTACGTTATTCTCTAAATCTGGAGATACTTCCGGTACATACACTTGTACGTATGTTCTAATGTAATACCGTACAATTTTAAACGGATTCACTGTGGACCAGTACAGTCGGGAGCATTTGTAATCACAAGGTATAATTTTCTCCACCGTGTCAGAGTATTCAGGAATAACTGTACCCAAACAATCGATCATTAATGAACCTATCATTACTTTCACCTTATTTGGTTCCGCATACTTCTTTTTTTTGCGATCTAACTCAACGTATACTGGTCTCCGAAGACTAAATTCACTCTCATTCTGCAGCGTCTTATGCGTGCAGTTATTTAAATGCAAAGAACAGAATACTGTTTTGTCATCATTGAAGGCGAGTCCTATACTCCTTGCACAGGGATAGTGAAAAGTACTGTTACAATTTTTTGCACAGCAACCAACGCTTGCCCCTTTTTTCCCACACTCTGAACAGCGAATCAGCCTCCCTCTGGAAATAGCGCTGTGAACGTTCTGCAAAGAACCATCTATCTCTTCAAACACTTCGTTGGACCAAAGCGCACAATTTGAATGAACCCACTCATTTTGTCCGCAGTATAATAAACGACCTTCTTTTGTTTCCGAACCATCGCCCAATCCTTTGCACAAACAACATGATCTACTATCTTCGATGTGAACATTATACAAGTTTGCCGTTTTGGCCGCGATTGCCTTTGGCGCTCTCATCACTTCTTCTTTCCATATTTCTAGAATTGAATCGTCAAGCTTTCCAACAAAATTATCATCCTTAATATCTTTCGCTGGTAACGTATCACTCTTTTCAGTATTTTTAGTACTTTTCGGGCTGAACCATGGAAATACCTCGCGTAAAGTTTCATGGTAAGCGTCGATGAGTTCCTTTGTTCCTATTCGGTTAATTACGCGCTCCATGTCGTAATGGAATTGTGATAATGTTTTGTATTCATTATTATTCACTTTCTGTTTTACAGACATTAAGGTGGGGGAGGGTCTGACAATGATTTGTTGATCCGAACAATGACACTCCGTGTCATTAGAATTTTCTTGGATCGGTGAATCCTTTTTATCGCTTTCTTGAGAATCTTTTAGTGCACAATTTTTTACTCTAACAGAACATTCTTTCAAATGAAACTTTTGTCGAAGGCGCCTTAGTCCTCTTCTATTAGAATCGCTTGGTTGATCCTCATCTGTTTTATTTGTATCGGATTTAGAACATTCTTCAGACTCATCTGTGTTAACTTCTTTAGTATTTGATTCAACCTTGTCATCTGAGAAATCTAACTTTTTTGTAGATCTACACGAACATTCCTTCTGTGGACTCCACTTCAGTGCGGCGCAAGCTTTTCTATTTTTACTCAAGGATTTTATAACGCCTATGAAACCAGCCTTCAGTTCAGCTTCTATAGCGTTCCTCCAAATGGAATTGGGGTTCGATGAACACTGACTGCAGGTGAATTCGATTGAATCAGGAAGATAACTGAGGATCTGATAACGCTCATCGGAAAGTCCCTCACAGCGAGCATGAACCCAATAAGAACACTCGCTGCACTCCATCATCTGAAATTTAAATGCGTATAAAGATACTCTTAATTTAATCAGATTAATGTATACTCACTTTTGTATCAAAATCATTCTCGTTGTAACATCTTTGACAAAGGGGACAATAATTTCCTTGTTGACGCAATTTAAAACACATGGAGCATAATGGTAAGTTGCCCACATGAACATTGACCCCTTCGCTACCACAGCTCTTACATTTCACACAACTTTGACACACATAAGGTCTCTCAGGACTGTATAGTCGCGCGCTGACACCGGACTTCGACAAACACGAGTGATGAAACGATTGACGACAACGAATGCATGACAGTTTTGGACCAGATCTTTGATGGCAGGATTGGCATATTGTACATCGGGGACAGCACCAATTTGGTTGGGCACAAGCATTCCATTCACTGGGTTCCAGACAAAACGCATGATATGGCTCACAACAGCATTGACAATGGATCAGCTGGAAAGATCGTTACCATGTACAACTGTATATAATAATATTTATAGGGTAAATCTATATAAACAAAATAAATAAAAAGTGTAGAGGCATGTTTTTGTAGGACGCTTTATTTTTAAATAAATCAACATTGAAAATGCAACGATTTGAAAAGCCCGCTAAGACACTTTTGGCAGATATAGACAGAGGCTCCATATTTATGGCGTTTTTTTTTTGAATCGATGAACTTTCAACATTGATTTATTCGAAAACGAAGATCCCTTATGAAAAAATTTCACTCAACATTGTTTACTTATTTTTTCATGTAGATTCAGCCTATTTATACTATCGGGTTGGAAACTTCCTGGATAATTACTTACTGGTTCTTTTCCAGCGCTTCCACAGAGATAGCAAATAGCAGAAATATGGAAGAGTTCTGAACCAATCAAAGCAAAACCTTTTGCACCAACTTCTGCGGGATCGTACTGTTCCCAGAAGTCTATAGATACTGCGTGTAACGTCTCGTTATTTGTTTTAGGTACCTGTGTAAAATTGAAAACATTAATAATCATATAAATAAAAAAATATAATAATATGTACTTACCATTTGTAGATTTTGTTGCTGTTTCCCTCTTTTCGGATGAGGCTGTTGTATTACATTTGTAGTATCTTCATCGTTATGTTTTTGTTGCTCTTTTTCTTTAATATCACTCTTTTTTTCCAGCCTATCATTTTCCTTCAGTGTTTTCGGAATGTGCTTATTGCTTTCAGTGTCTTCTTTTCCATCCACGGAGGGAAAAGTAGCAATTGGTTGACCAAGAGCAACACTTGCGCTTCGACAAACGTGTTTAACCCTTGGTCCTTTTAATTCGAGTCTCTGTCTCAGGGGCTGCGGACACTGATTCAAAGACGGCGGCGAAAACATTGGATTCTTTAATTTCTTTCGCACTTTTATCCTGTTATTTTTTCTTCTCTTTTTACTGGGCGATATATTCAGCGTTGAATCAACTATAACATTTGTAAATATTTGTAAAGTGCTTTTAGCGTTACTATTTTAAATTTGAATTTGTCACGTTTTGACGGATTTGAAAAGTAGCGCGAGAATATGAATTCGATAATTGCAGATAGCCTAAAATTTACGATACCTAAAACTTACATTTATCTAATTTTGTATACAGAAAACCTCCACTGCCTTGGTAACTAGTTTTCTGACCCATTTCCATGTTTCTCCAGCTCATAGCCGATTTAAACAAGTTCTTCTCTGAACTATCCTCTGCAGGCCAGCCCAATTTACAAGATATCAATTTCTGACCTTGACTATCATCTTCTTGATTCAATGACAATGGAACGCTTAAAGGATCTCTCATCATTGGCGGCAATAGTGCATTCAAGCCTGTTCTTAACGAAGAAGGAATGTTGTAACATTTCAGACACATCTTCAACCAACAAGCCGGACACCTGGCTTTGTAAACGCATCGCATGAGATTCCACTGCTGACTCCTCACAACAGGCGGCACCAAACATAAACCGTCGCCCTTATGGCATTGCAGGATCGGGAGAGTACTATTCGTAGATTTTGCACAAGCCTGTCGCTTGATCATTTTACTGATGAATTTTCTACAAGATTCACAACTGTGGATGCCAAATTTTCTGGCCTGTTTTACAAATCTGTAAAATCGCACTGCTCCACAGACTCCACATTTGATAGTACCTGTCAATCCTAAAAAAATCGAATTAATAAAATGATTTCACTGTCTTTATAAAATATTAAATTAGATATGTACCTAAATTAGTGTTTCCAGTTGTAACACTATTGTTATTTGTTGTTGAAAATGGCCCTTCTGTTCCTCCAACACATTTATTATCTAATTTTAATCTTGCTTTCCTTAAAATTACTTTCCCACCACTTAGTTTCATTCCAGTCCATTCTGATTGCTCATCTTCTGTGTGATTACTGTGCTCGCTTTCACTTTCTGACAATGTGCTTTCCGTGTCAAAATTGTCTGAATTTCCCTCTGCAGTTTTATCAGAACTGCCTTCAACATTCAAATCAACGGCTTCACTGTGCATTCCTGACCTTGTCTGAATCCTGGAAGACTCTGAACTTGGAACATCGGAATCAGGAAGAACTTTTGTAGGAACAGAGAATGGCTTCTGATTCTTTGCAATTTTGCTCTTACTCTTTACACCTTGTGCGTCTTGTGCTTTGTTCCTTAGTTTTGTACACAATTTACTAATATTCTCCTCTCGATCGCAAAGTTTATTCATTGCAAACTTGGCCTTCTTCACTTGAGTGCTGACTTCATTCTCACTGTGCTCAGAAATCTCCTCCAACTCTTCTATGAATCTCTTATTTGGTTTAATCACTCTTGATGAATGGGCACTTCGCACTGGCAGAATAAACTTCCTCACAGCATTCTGTTTGTCTCCACACTGAGCAGTCATGCTGTTAGACTTCGCCCTCTGCAGTAATCTCTTTGCAGTACTATTACGTAGTTGTCTTGTTCGTTGGTGCTGGTCCAAAATATTGTTCACTGACTTTAATACTGGTGTTTTCATGAAATTTGAGAACTTGATATTCTTGCGGTTCTTGGGTCTATGGAACTTTGCAGCTTGCTTGATATCCTCCTTATCATTATTCTCAGAAGAATTCTTAGTTTCAGTGACACTTTCATTGGTAGGTTTGACGGATGGGGTTTTTGTGTCATGTTGCTGTGTTTTGATATAAGACACGGACAGATTAGCCTCTTTAGTGCTAAAACCATGGAACGGTGGGTGTTCCTATAAAGAAAAAAAATATCTTCATATAGGTTAACTTTCATATATTTCAGTTTCTGTGGTCATTGGGCGCCGTATGCGTCCCTATGACGCTTCCATGGTAAATATATTTATTTACAAATGAAAGTGTTATTAGATGTGTATTAGTAGATAGCTGTGAATGTAAATGGTGGATTACCTTCTCGTTGTCACCAAATGTTTCGTTGAACAGGGAAAGTCCGTAATAGATGTTCTCGGCGACGGTTACCGAATCGCTTTGGGCTGTCTCGGGTTGGCCGAGAACTTTGATACGTTTCCTGGTGACCGTCTTTGGCGGCTTCCCGGGAAACTTGGACCTTCCCATGTTCACTGATTTCAACGGGCAACCTCAACCTCGCTACGAAATTCTGTTTCCATTTTACGCGATTTTTGCCCAGCCGAGGCGCACCAACTGAACACTTAACACACACCGATATATATGTTACGCTGGCGTTCGTTTAACATCGGTTAACGTCGGCTAAATTCGATCATTGCCGCGAAATACGCGCGTATTGTCAAATCACTGAATCACTGGTAGTAAGGTGGGTACATGTGTTTACCGAATACATATGTAAGCGTTCGTCTAGTGATTTTCAATTGAAGCGGAGTTTAAATTACGCGCGCTTTTAGCATTGCATCATTCAAGTGTTTTATTACATTTACGATTATTTATATTGACGTTTTCTTATTGTTTATAAATAATTAAGGCGCGTCATTATTTAAATTAATAGGTGTATAAATGAATTTAATGTCTTTAGTATTATACCTTTTTAATTACTATTTGACATTTTAATATTTTCCCGCGCTTCGGTAAACTTCAAAAGTGGCGCGAAAATATGGTAATAATTGGAATTACCATGACCTTTTAAAAATAAATCTTCAATTAAAGAAGAAAAAGCCACTAAATTAATTTGTACATTTAATAACGAAAAATTATACGTAGTGTATAATAAACGGTTTGCTTTTTCAATTTTATTACACATTTAGAATTATAATAAATAACAATGATTATAACAAATCAATTGATTCGATATATCGAGTATCGATTTATTTTAAATTTAAATTCAAGTTCAAATAGTAGTTAACATAATTAACATAGCATATAGAAATGAAGAATTAGAATTTATTAATCTTTAAATATGATAATAATCATTATCTGCATTATGACATGAAATTAAATAAAAGACTGTGAAATATATATATGATTATTTATAATTACATTTGTAATACAAAAATTTGATAAAGACCATATCGACGTCCATCTTCATGGCAACACAAATTGAGTTGCATTATATTGAGTTGAAGTTATCGGGGCTACCAATACCGCATCCCATTTTATCGATCTCCCTGTATCATAAATATTTATGTACATACGAATACACGCGTACTGATAAACTTTATATTTTTAATAAGGTACATCAATAGCTTATTACCTTTCTTCCCATTTGTACACATCCAACCGGGTCAAAAAGTAAATTACAACCGATGCAGAAACATTCGAACCGTGCTTTTATTTCAGTTGAATTTGTTAATAAATTGCTTTTTATTATTCACGATAAAAGTATTTTGTAAAAACGTTGAAGGAATAATTGTTTTATGGAAGTGCGATTTTTCAATACAATAACTCCATATTTTTTATTATGTATTTATTTAAAAAATTGTTACGTATATCATTTGAAAATTATTTTATATGACAAAACATTAAAATAAATACAAGTTTTTATTACAGTATGAAAATACACATTATATAAATGCATTAAAATTATAATTACAATCATTTTTATGCCCATTTATATTGTGTAAGAGGAAGATTACTGTTGTAATTTGCATAAAAGCTTGTCATTTGTAATTCGAGTATAACTGCAATCAACTCCATTTTGTGTGACAAGAAAAAAAAAATGAAGGATAAAACAGTAAATTAAATTCAAATTGAAAATAGATTAACTCGTCTATACATTAGAAAATTTTAAATCTATTTTCATTATCGACTCAGAGCTTACGTAATTTTATTCTTTTTTCAGATACAATTTCATAACAGAAAAGCGTTGCAAAATGGCACTTATGGTACACCAAAATAAAGCTTGAAACTTCACAAAAATGACCATATAAAGCTTTTATTGATATTTTTAATACAACATGAGTAGTTGTGGATCGTAACTAACACTATTGTTGCACTATGTCAAATATCTGATTTCAATAATCATCGAAGCAAGCAATGAATAAGACAAAATTCTCTTTACTATATAAAGAAATACGCGTTTGCAGACTGCATTCTCCAAAACAAAAAGTAAAAAATAAAAAAAAGAAGAAGAGGACCGGTTGAAACAGCAAACGCAAAGTTGTCGCGTTCAATCAAATTCAAATTGGAGACGATCTAACGCGATAGTTTAGCTGTACGCAAAGAAACCTGAGACTCTCGTTACAACGAGGCGTATATTCGTTTTAAAGCGGCGAAGCGAACGAGTTTATCTCGTCCTGATCATTCCGCTCGAAATGCCCGAGCGGGTGTGGTACCCGGTCGTATTCTCGTTGGGATCGGTCAGCTAGCCGGTTGTAACGGAGCTATAAGATCTGCTTGTTCCGTTTCGTTGCTTTGCATTGCGTACTCTGCACTGTATCCACGGACTTCAACCTCACACAACACGGACAAGTGTGTGATCCTAGAAAGGATAACGCGAACGTGTATACGCCCAGATTTTCCTGGACCATTCTGTAGTTATTTTTTAGAGATTTTAAGCTTCAATTTCATGAATCATATGCGATATTTCGGAATTCTTTTATCTCATGAATTTTTCTTACAATATTTGGCTTTCGAAATTTCATTTGTACCAACAGTGTTCGTTGCGATCTACAACTACTCATTCCGTATTAAGAATATTTATGAAAGCTTTATATGGTAATTTTCGTGGTACTCTAAGCTTTATTTTGATATGCTATAAGTATCATTTGATAATGCTTTTCTGTTATGATTTTTCCAAATACTCAAATTAATCATTCGAGACCATTTATCATAGCAAAAAGTAGTTCACGATAAAAACGAATAAAATCAGATTACTTTAGCGACAGACCACGTAATTATAAGACATGTACATCACGTTTATGAACCGGTGAATTCATTTCCCTGTTCCTTTTGTTTGCAACGCGGCTCGCGTGCTAGAGGCTTAGAAAGTTGGAAGTTGGTTCATTGTACCTCGAACGTGAGAAATACGCAGAATATTCCGAGTGACATTCCGGGGTGGAGACTATAACTGAAAAAAAAGAGAAAAGGAAAATAGCATGCAAGTTAAGCGAATACTTTTCACGCTCATTAAATGAGAGTCAGTACGTGACGCAGTATCTGTGAAACGCGTTTTCCCGTTCGTTCAAATAAAAAGAATTAACCACGCCTCTCTGATCTTCTCGATTTGACGAATTACTTTAACGGATCGAACAACTTTCAATATATCTTCTTTTTTGCAATCGTTGACATATGGATAAAACAATCGTGCAGGCGCATTTCTATTACCGATTGTAGCAATGTCAATAATGGGTTTTACTTTAAAATAAATTTTGGGGATTCGGTACGATTTTTATATTTCTAAATTTGTGAATTTTCAAATTTCCAAATTTCCATTTTCCAACTTTCCAAAAATTTTTTAATTGTTAAATTTTCGTTGGAAGCTATTCACTTTAATATCAGATTCCAAAGGAAGGGGGCACAGAAAAATTCCATATCAGGGTAGTTGTGTCGTAAGAAAAATTGCCACGATCCAAGGATTGGGGACGTATTAGAGCTCTCCCCCAAAAATCGTTGTCTCGTAGCGAATTGCACGGTCCTTACGTATCTTGGAGGTTTGTTGGATGCGCCTACCGGAGCACCCTCCTCGTTTCCCCGTAATTACCGTGGCTCGCATACCAGCGTACGGCGTTTCTGGGGCGCGCACCAATGCGACACCGGAGACAAGAGAGGAACAATCGTGGAAAGAGATGGCGGGGCTAATCGATAAGTACGGTCCCACAACCGAAACTGACAATGAGAAGAATGCTGATGTCAACGATTCTACTCTGTATCGCGTGCATTCGTTTCAGACCTTTTTCAACGAATTACCACTGACAGTAATACCAAGCCATTCGATGCAACGCTGCCCTAACTGCAAAACAGTAATTTTCGAGTAATTGCCATTTACATTGCGTTGCAAGAATTTCAGAATCTCGGAAATTATAATTTTGGATCTTATAATTTTATAATTTAAGAATCTTGATTAAGAATTAATAAACTCTCAAAATAGAATAAACTCTCCCTGAATTTTATAAAAAACATTTTTTATTGCATAAAAGGTTAAAATGGGTCATTCTGTACCCTATCAAAGATAAAACAAGGTCATATTGTTCTATAGTATTTTTTGATCAAGTATCGTACAATAAGTAATTAAAAAAAAAAAAAAAAAAAAAAAAAGAAAGAATAGAGATGCTTGAAAGCGATGCATACGTATCATTCATGAATAAAAAAAAAAAGGAAGAATGAAGTACTATTCGTGTCTGTGTAGAGATTGCATTCATCGGTTTATCACGATATGGGAAATGCATAAAACGAATATTCACGATACACTGCAATAGTGAATATTGATGTTCTCCTTATATACGTTACGATATTTCTTTCATTTCCAATCATAAATATCATTCAACGTACAAGAAATGTTAAATATTTATTCGATGATCCATAAAAGAATTCCACATGTATAGAATAGTCTAGTATAAGTTTATTGCAATCTGGAGTCTACTTTTATTCCAATTACAGAATTTTTATTAATGTTATAATAAATCTTTGGCACTTAGTTAGTAAATCTACGGGACAACCGATCAAAAAATTCAATTTATACACAACAGACAGGACTCGATCCAGTTTAGACACCCACGTGTCCATTATCCATATCTCGTGTTCTCTTCCCGTCGAAGAAAAGAATTCTATTTTATTATCCTCTCCAGTATACTCATATTCTCCGCTGAAATCATTGCTCAGACACCTATTTCTGTCCGGCGAAGGTAGATATACGTATCAATGGATATATTGGTACAAGCTAAGAGACCGGTTTACGCTTTACGACAATGTAACCCGTATACATACTAGATAGAATCTATAGGTTCGTAGAAGTGAACGAGATGCAAACGCCCACATGGTCTATGTTTAGTTTTTTTTTTAGCAAACATTATACTTCAGGAAGGCGTTCGATAATTCCCTGTTAGGGACACGTAGATAAGCCAAAGAGTGTATGAAGAATGCACGCATGCCATTGACGCTTGATAATTCACCGTTTCGTAAAAAAATCCAAAATGCATTCCATACATAGATGTGTATTGATTGCACGCAACTCCTTTTGAAGATTTTTTCTCCCTGGAAAACCACTGGTAGCGGTGCTTTTGTTTTTATCCAACGACTACCTGTTTAATAGGGGCGGGAGAAGTACAGCGTTGTTTTTTTTATTTTTCGT